CGTCTGTTCAACGTCAGCAAAACCAAGGAGTTGATTGTTGATTTTAGGAAAAAGGAGGGGAAGACACGTACAACCCTGTCTACACTGATGGAGCTGAGGTAGAGCGAGTGAACAGTTTGAAGTTCCTTGGAATCAGCATCACAGAGAGCCTGACATGGTCATCACACATCTCCACCCTGATGAAAGAAAGCAACAAAACAACTTTCTTTTTCTTACAGGAAACTTGAGAAGCAATTTTACCCAGCCAAGTTCTTGTCAACTCTTACACAGAAGCAATAGAAAGCCTCCTGAGTTAAAACATTACAAACTGGCACGGGATGCTGACAGGCCCGGACAGGAGGGCTCTGACTAAACCTTAAACCTTGAAAAAGTTAGCTGACTTTAATAGGGGCCCTAACAGCAAAGATTTCACACCATGGGGCCCCAAACTGGACACTCATTCTTGGGAATGGGGACAAAACATTACTTAGTGTTTTTTTTGTATTTTTACTCTTCAGTTAGGCTGGAAAATATATTTTATAAGATCTAAATCTTGACTATTAAATCTTGTAATGAGCCATCCTCCTGGTGATTTAATTTTTTTTCTTGAATAGCGTAATAATGGATGTCAGAGGTAAGATCTGACGGAGCTGATGTCTTATGGACCTGACAGGAAGTTATATATTTATTAATTTCACAGCAGTCGAAGTGAGTAGCCATTTTATTTTTCATAGTTGCTGAGAGTTCTCTTAATGCTCATCAAAATATTCATTTTTAAACCATAATTCTTACTTAGTTGTGATTTAGAGGGGCTACAGCCACCTGATAGGAATATTATTAAATTAATTTATCAAAAAATGCAACGCTCACCAGAACTTAAGCAGCATTCCCGCCTTTTTAGAAACCAGGAAGTCAGGAGTCCTTTTGATGTAGCTGATCCCTTTTATACCTGATTAAATTATGCTATTGTAGAAGTCTGACAGAGCTGAAACAAATTTGGGACACATATTTAAAGGGCCAACATTTTCACAAAAAATATACTTTAAAGCAAAGATGAACATAGTAGTAGATTTTTGACAACGATGTTATCAGTGCGTACTGTCCATTTTAGATTTTAAAGGCTTTTAACAAATATTTTTAACTGTTTGAAGTTGTGAGTTATTTTCTGGGACAAGGCTGTTAAGATCAAAATATTTTATAAAGCATATTTATTTTAAACATATAAATCCTTTAAAAATAATGTGTCATCCTGGAAACTGAATAAGTGTGTTGATAAGTTAGAGTTTTAAGGGTTTTCTTGGTAGGATGTTATTTGTCCCAGTAGTTATGAATAGGTGTTTCTCATAAATAAGTTAAGTAACACTAACTCGCCCAGGAGCCTCTGGGAGATTCCGGTCAGGCTGAGGGTCTCTGCTACACACGTTAAACTACTCTACTTTGAACTGTTAAAAATGGCAAAGAAACTGAAAGACTAAAAAAAAACTAAAGGGCGCCACAAAGATGAGGAAGCACAGAGTATACTTTGTGGTCAAGGTGGGAAACACTTCTGGATATGTTCATGTAATAATGATAAAGTAGATGTGATAATAATGTGTTAATATTAAGAAGAAACTGTATTTCCTACATGAGATACAGCAATGAATATAGTAGAGAATGCAGCATTAAAAAGACATAGCACACTGTCATATCCGTGTGTGTGTGTGTGTGTGTGTGTGCTATTAATAGCCATTGCTCAGTCTTAACTCTAACCCCGGCCTTGGCCTTTTCCCCAGTATTTCCTTCATGCTGGACCTTGTCTCAGTGTCACTGAGGGTAAAGGTCCTCACACACATTCTGTCACAGCAACATGTCATTTTCAACATTTGATACTTGATGTGACAACCAAGTAGGCCAGCTACTGGGTCCAGATTTCTCCTCAGTCATTAAAGGTCCACACAGTTTAATATATTCACCATCATACTTGCACTTGGCCATGTCGCTGAGCTAGTTTGCTGTGTCTGTCATGTAGCTGTCAAGTAGTACCTCACTCTACAGCAGAAAACAGCTCTTCAAAATAACAGCTCCATGCCAGAAATTTGCTGTCCTTCAAAATAAAGTGCATTTTTTACAAAGTTGACACACTTGTGAGTCACTTATGGTCCTTTCAGAATGGGCCCGTGATCCACTTCATGGATATGGAATCAGTTCATGTGTTTTTAAGGAGGCAGCAGACACTATCACGGCAGCTGATTTCAACAATATTCATTAACTTTACATTTGAAAATTTGAATGCAAAGAAGAGCCCATCACCAGACACTTAATCCCTGCACTAAAAGTCAAAGTAATACTAAGGAGAAAGTATGTAAGTGCATTTTGTGTGACTCATTTTCAGAAGGACGTAGTGCACTTCTGACTACACTTACTTTAAAATGCACAAAACACTGCTGAAATATGATGCAGCGTTAAGAGGTCAACCTAACGAGCTGTATTGTTTGTATAACAACAAACAATAAGAGAATGAGAGATGCAATTCAACCTCAATGAAGACTTTGACCAGTGCAGTTGAAAATGATTGTCACAAATAACCAACTTACTTGGATTCTTTTCATTTTGCTCAGGGATGGTGTCACTGATATGAGGCAGGACTGATTAATAAACAGCCTGAAGCAGATCAGACACTTTTGTTAGAGAAAATATTGTAGAATATGTACAGTACTGTTCTCATGCCCATTGATGACGTTTCTGTGAAGCCTAATTTGTCCTAAAAAAGACAATACGGCTGAAAAATGTAGTGACTATAAATACAGGGAGTAGAGGGGCTAAACTGAGGCCACTGCTAGAAACCCTACACTACAGCTAATTTAAGAGCACGTTTCAAGAGGTCTTGCTCAGGACCACAGCGGACTGTCACCCTATCACTGTCAAGTCTCGCAGGTTTGACTTTAAAGACCTCAAAGTGTCTACCTGGCCTCCAAATTCCCCAGATCCCAATCTGAATGAGCATCTGTGGCACGTGCCATTAACCCACCTCACAACCCACTGGACTAAATGGATCTGCCGCCAACGCACTGGTGCCAGACACCGCAGGACACTCCCTGGATCAGGGGTACATCTGGGGTACCGGCACATCACAAGAATCCTTGAGCAGATTGGGACCTGGGAAATTTAGAAGCCAGGTCGACACCTTGAGCTTTTTGTCACGCTCCACAGGCCATTTCTCAACAGTTTTTGCAGTGTGGCATGGTGCATTATCCTGCTGGGGGGCCACTGCCATTGGGTAGTACTGTTGCCATGAGGGGGGGGGTACTTGGCCTGCAACAGTGTTTGAGTGGGTGGAACATGTCAGGTGGTATCCACATGAATGCCAGAACCAAAGGTTTCCCAGCAGAACAATGCACTGGAACAAGTTATTCACTTCACCTGTCAGTGGTTTGAATGTTTTGGCTGATCGGTGTATATCTGAATAAAGACTTAGCTTCTTTATACTAGTTTTATGCTATTTAGGTAACCTCATTACCATATTTAGGTAACCTTTAGGTAACCATTCCTTTCAAATCCGCCCACAGGCAGGTTTGAAAGGAATGTTTTCTATTGATCTAAGGATGCGAAGGAGGGGGAGGTGCGGGTGGGGGCCAGCTGTGTAGTACAGTAGGGTGGTGTTCAGCTCCAAACTACAGTGGTGGTTCTCCCAAGACTCCAAAGTCACATTTACTTCATCAAATCCATCCAATATTTTTACTCCCCTGGCATATTCTGTTGTAGCATGTTCGCAATTTTAAGGCTCAGCAGCTGTGTGTTGTCTAAGTAAGGTGTCAAGGTGAAGCTAATCTTAACCACAGAGACTGATGCTTTGTCACAAGCTGGGTATACATTGTGTTATTTTGGGCTGTCCCAGACGCAAGATGACCAGCATGAAAGAAACGTTGCGATATCTTTGGTTGTGGCCCTAAAACAGTGGTCCTACATCTTGCAATCAGGAATCTGGGATGACAATCTCACTGTGTGACTGCTGTTATGACCTACATCTACTAACCATGCAGCATGAAATGACACACTGATGATAAACCCCAACAAACAGACAGATAGCAGCTCGCCATGGAGGCAAAATATGGTTAAGGAAATGTGTGGGATTCCACCAGAGAGGAAAACCTTGTGAAAATGTGGCAGCAGAAGCTTTGGACGAAGCACGAAGCATGGACGGAAGTAGCTGTAGAGGTGCAGCTGACAGGCGAGCAACCTAGCAGCTAGCAAACACACACAGACCCACAGCAGTTATAGTGCCCACAAAACTTTAGGTTATTTAAAAATGTGACTCTCTATGTTGGGCTTCACAGTTGGAGAAGTAATACCCAGAGCAGCACTCAGTATGGGAAGCTGTTGCATCGTATAGCCTGTGATTCAGTAGGCACTGTCATCTTACAGTCTGCATACATCAAACTTGATGTTGTACCCAAGTTTATTAGATCCATATCAGAGGCTTTACATGTATTATTTTAATGCAAAAAGTAACTGAAAGTGAAATACAAGTTGTGGAGTAAAAAGTACCTCAAAATCCCACATATGGTATCTGAAATGTACCTGAAGTGATCACGAGAAAGACGAGTTTGAATACCAGAGTACGCTGCTAACTACAGAGCCATGTCCCAGATGATTGCCGCTAACAAAAAGCAGGACAGAGAAACGTATTTCTGACAGAATAACAGATGCAACAGTGCTGATACTTGAGTTTTACTGTACACAACCCCAGTCACAGAGTGACATAGCGAACCGGCTACAGGTCACATTGTTTCTGTACAGCCAGAGAGAATATGAAATTTGAGGTAAACAGAAGAAAGGAAAATAAACTCTATTGGCATACGCAAGTTTCTTTTTAATGGTGTGTCTTTAAAGGTATACTAGGCAGGATGTTCCTAAAAAGTAGTAATCCCTCTTGATCATCACTTATGACGCACTAGAGGTGTGTGGTGGTGTTTTTATCTGCAGACCCTCCCTGTATTGTCATGTTTTCTTCTTGCTGTGTTCGGGATGTTCCTGGGTGCAGCTCCCAGCTAATATGAGCACACAAGGAAGTTGAAGACTTTATAAAATAGTAGCAACCAGGTCGTATCAGCACATATCCAAGAGGAAGTTATGGAAATTGTGGACAAAGTGCTGGGAAAAAAAAATGCAAATATAGTGAGGAGAAGTGGACAGAGCTTGCTCCAAAGCAAGATGAATCTGCAATTGGGTTTCACTTCCATTTCCTCTGGCGAGCCCTGAAGGATGATGGTGAAGAAGAGGTATGGCTAGGTGCCAGTGGTTAGCTTTGTCAGCTTGTTTAAGTATTAGGTTTTCCATTACTGCAAATGTAGCTTTCCTTTGTCAATAGCTTGGAGTGTACGTACAAGCAGTGTCGGAAGGAGGGGCCAAAATTGAATGTTGTAACTGGCATTCCTGCATAGTATACCTTGAAAAATCAAGACTGGGGTCGATCGGCTTAGAAATAAGGACATACTGTGTTTACGACGACTTCATTTAAAGTCCCTCTCCACTCAAGAATGTTTTTCTTATGTTTATGGCCCCAAAATGTCTGACCTCACATTCTTCTACTGAAGGGGACATTCAAACATAGCTCGGGCGAGCTAGATAAGATGTGTCAGTAATACGAAAGCCAATTGCTGTCTAATATAGGAAACTCTCGTTGTCAGGGGAACAGATGTCAACACAACTCTGGAAAAGAAACCTGAAACCTCCAGCGCAGAGCGGACCTGGCAGTACAGAGAGCAGAGTTAGCATTAGCATAGTGAACATGGTAGAGATGTAAACTGGACCCTGGAGTTTCTTTCCGCTGCCTACCCAGAACCTACCGAAGCTAACAAACAACATAAATAAAAGACGCAATTTGCACTGAACATTCTGATTAAATGCTAGCTAGCCGGTCTGACTGAGGCTCGAACATGTATGGCTGAATCGCTTCAATTGTTTCTCTAAAGCTAGCCATGTTTCACTGGAAACAGAATTGTTTTTATTATGCGAGAAAACCACGTTAGACAAAATACTAGTTTAAGTATTTATACTTCAAAACGAGTCTGGAGTGAGACTTTAAAGACTTCAGTCATGTTCAAATTACTGTCTTAACCATCTGTTTGATTGTGGATCGACTCCAGTCCGTCCATGCATAAATGTGTCTGCTGACAGAAGGAGAGAAGTGTAGCTACAGTCATGAGTAATGAGGCAGTGAGCCAAAGGTTTATCATGAAGACCACCGTGTATGTCTCTCAGTGTTTGAATGAGTTTCACACTACAGGTGAGTCAAGAGCAAATTAAAAAAAAAAAAAAAAAAGACGTCAGCTCACCATTTTAATTCGACTTAATATTCACAAGAGGTCACTGTGTCAAAAGGCTGAAAAACATCACACACACTCACACACATTATCTTTAAATTCCACAAATGTAGGACTTTCTCAGAGTGCATCACTGTTGAACACAGACAGACGAGGCGCTGGAGGCGTCAGGCACGAACTAAAGTCTTCCAACGTGTTGTTATCATGGATGTATAAAGAGTACTGGATCCAGCGTTGAAGGTGAGGCTCCTGTAAAGACTTCCCGAATATAAAATTACCCATATCTTCTACATGGTTGAGCCCACACAGCAGAAACAATACAGGCTTTTGTGAGACAAGTGGCTCACTTCTGGTTTAGCACTCCGCTAACTTAAATCAGAAATGACTGAATGATTGAAATGATTTAATGGTGCAGCCAAACAGTGTTATTACACTGTCATGATAAAATCTTTTTATCCCCATTCAAGTCAGTGGAGCGCTTAAAGGGAAGTAGCCAGCTTGTGGGCCACACCATGCAGAAGAGGTGCCGATCATAATTAACTTTATAAATGGTAATTACTCTTTTCTGGCTTAACGCACCACTGAGCAACTTTCATGGGATGAAAAGGGCCCCACGTACAACGCTGTATCAAGTTCTCTTTATACATTCATGCCAACAGCATCATGTGATGGATCCAGAATCGTCGTCAAAACTTAGCACACTTCCTGGGGGCTTGTTTGTAATATACCCTCTGGCAGCCATATTAGAGGTCCACAACTTGTTTTGAAGGGTCACACGCTTAGCCTGTACAAAAATATTGACTGTAAGTACCATGACATCGCTGATTCGTTTGCGGACTCCTGTTTGAAGCCTTGAGTTTGGCATTTCGGCTGTGATTTCTGGAGCCAGAGGTGACCGTATTTGGACCAGAGGTGAAGCTGACTCAAAGCGGCACTGCCCTTGAATATGGGCACTTTTAAACCTTAATAAAATTTAAACAGGTGATTTATATAAACATTCACCCCCTGTGAAGGTTTCATGAAAAGGGAAGTTAGCTGTAGAGGCTGAAACTGGCTGTAAACATGTTTATGGTACAAGCTTTTTGGCTTTATCAGCTTGTTGGTGTAAGCACTTACTTTGGTAAATTAGCCTGCTAGCTAATGATTAACATTCACAGACTGAAGAAGAATAGCCAGTATTACTGCTTGAGGCAGTCATGTCTGCCTGAGAAAAGCAGCTGCAAAGGATCCAGTATCAGCGTCCAAGTCCATACTGGAAGCCTCACTGATGGCATTGATTATAACCAGGCACTGGTGCCACTGTAATGTTGAGTAATGGGAAAACATGCCCTTTCTATTGACAATGCTCCTTTTTCCCCCCTCATATGGCATTTTAGGAATTTAACTGATTAGATCCAGAGTGCCGAATGAAGAAGTTGCCCGTGGACACTTGGGTAGGAGATATGGCTGACAGAGGGATCAAAGCCTGGATCCTCTCTTTACACAATGTTGCTGTAACACGTAATCTTTTTGGTAGACAGCGATACGTCAGTAAGAAAGTCCTACATTTTCATCATTCATCTGTTTTTTTTTTTTTTGCTGCTGCTGAGATTTAGCAGAGATGGTGAAGACGATGGGTTGTCGCCATCACTGTAGAAGAGCAGAGAGATGACAACGCAGGAAGCAGAAAAATGGCTGACTCTTCGTCTTTCTGTTTTTGCTTTTTTTCCCCATACATTTGTTTATTCTTCACATTGCTCCCAGAAACAAGCCTCGTCCTGTTTCTCCAAACACCATTCCCTGGAAGTATGCACTTGCACTCTCTTGCCCTATAAGTGGCCTTTCCCAAAAAGAGATTTTTCAATACATAAACGCAGGCTGTCAGGGCACGACATCTGCCCTTTCGTAGTCTCTGCCCTTCAGAAACAGATAAGTGTACAGCTGGAGCAAAAAGATTTTTACTGTTACATTAATCAGAGAAGAAAAACCTTGGTTCATTTTAAGTCAGTGAATATGTGCACAAGTGCATACTTTGGGGCTGGGGTATGGTTAGATATTGGGACGTAGCCTTCACGACAGAGCAGCATGCTAGCAGCCAGCCCAGGAGCCCAGAGTCCATGTCTCTCTTCCAGATGTCTGGGAGAAGCCTTATAGCACAGAGACAGATAGGAGAGGGGTTCTAGCTAGCTAGCAGGGCAAGCTAGCTTAGTTAGCCGCCCAGGCCTCCAGGTCCGCCATGTCATCCTCGTCTTCTTCCTCCTTCTTCTTGGCTAAAAAAGGAACACACAGACATAAAGCATTATATTTAATTATGTTATTGTGCAGATATTTGTGATGTGGACAATATGTGTGAATTAAATCGAATTTTTATTTAGTGACGTATCGTACCTGGTCTAGCTGGTAGTGATGTAGATGGTACGCTGGGTAGAGGAACGTCCTCTGTTCCTTCGATTTCCAGAAGATTTTTATCCAGCTCTTCCTGTTCCAGATCCTCCAGCTCAGCCATAAGCTCATCCTGAACACACACACACACACACACACACACACACACACAAGTAAGTAATCAAGAAACCAGGTATGTGCAGGCAGACCACACAGACTAATTAAAGGGTGAATAAATGACCATTTGTATATCACATTTCAAGTGGTCTCCGTTCAGTTATTTGGTCCGCACCAGGGTTTGACTGACAGCTTTAACACCAGCCCAAACGAACCGTACTAACCACGTAAACGGGCCTAAGCTATTTTCAACTGAACAAAAAAGGTAAGGAATGGAAGCACCCTGATCTATCCTCTCGTCAAAGCTCGACTCCATTGACAAAACAGTAATTTTACCTTGCTGAACAGGGGAGCTGCTGGTCTACCACTGCCCTGATGAGTTAGTTTGTTTGTGTTACTGTGTGACTTTGCGGAATCCGAACTAACTAGGGATGCACCGAATATTCGGTAACCGAATATAATCGGCCGAATATTGCAAAAAAACACACATTCGGTATTCGGTGGAATAAGTTAAAAGCAAGGCTGAATAATAGCGGCGTGTTTTGATAACGCAATCAAACAGCGTGCCGTGACGGGCCGAGTAAAATGTCGGCAGTGTGGCGATCCGCCTGTCACGGCACTGGCATTTGCGACTAAAAATAGTTTTGAGCGAGCAAAATAGGCTTAAATCATTCAGCACGCTGTGCGAGCAGCCTACAGATTTCAACCAGCAGCAGAAACGAAAAGCGAATCCCACCGATTGTGGGTTGAACGGGGGTCACAGACACAGACAGTAATGTATTCCTGTCAAATACGCCGGCCATCGGCTTACCGGCAACGGAGAAGTCGGCTCCAATAATATCCTCTTCTTGGCGTCATGACTGCCCAGAAGTACCTGAACAGCCGAGCCAGCCGAACACAGGTATGTGACGTGTCAGAAGAGAAACGAGACGTTCACGGCCCACAAACCTCACCACACTTTAGGGACTGTTCTTTACTTATGAAGGGACTTGTCAGGGGTGGAGGGTGGCTGGTTGATTTTTATTTCATTTATTTATTTTATTTTGATCCCCCCTATGTTAATCACTCATTGATGCTGTTTTTGAAGTATGAATATGTCAATAAGTAATTTATTCCATTGAAATATCATTGATGTATTATAGAAATGTGATTTATCTTTTTATAAATGACAAAAGGCACATCTGCCTCATTTTCGCTGTGGTATCGTGATACTACTCAGAACCATGATATTTTCATTGGTATCGTACAGTGGGTCCCAATATTGGTACCGTGACAACACTAATCTGGAGGGGGTTCATCTGCAAAAACTAATGAAAAACTAAACAACAATATTCGGTATTCGGTACTCGGTATTCGGCCAAGCGTTTAATATTATTCGGCTTCGGCTTCGGCCACAAATTTTCATTTCGGTGCATCCCTAGAACTAACCCTTTCAAACACCAGTCACACAATAACACAAACAAACTAACCGATCGAGGTAGTGATAGACCAGCAGCTCCTGTGTTTAGTGAGGTAAAATCACTATCTTTGTCAGTGGAGTCTGGCTGCAAATAGAGCATGGATTATTTTCACTTTCAGTTCGGTTTCCCATCAGAGAGGGCTGTGTGTTTGGGAAGTACTGAGCATATGACTGGATAAATGAGCCTTGGATTACACTGCATGAGTTCATGAAAGGGTGAGTGAGTGTGGGTGAGAAACTGATATACAAATTGTCATGGGGGGGATTCCTTTAATGGTATAATGAAAGACTAATTTCTGTCATCTGAAATTTAGAGTTTTCTCCATTTGATTCCAATGCCAGCAGCTACAACTGAAAGTGTATATTATCGTGTTTGTGATTAATTATTCATGACAGTTGGGCAGAGCTCAAGAGATACACTACATATGATACTGCACTCTTCACCAAGTCAAGTCTCTGCAGCGTTTTGCCTTCATGTCTAAAGTTAAGTCCATTTGCTTGACATTTTTACAACTCGCGTCCCACTTGTGTCCAAGTCTCACGTCTACAGCCCTGCATTGATAAATATTGTAACACATGTACTGTAAAAAGTGTCATGCAGGGGTCCTAATATTGATACTAGAGTCTATTAGAGCTTGTTTGGTTAATGAATGAAGCTGTACAAAAATTGTTGCAGCTGTGAGGTTTGTCTCTGACTAATTGATGACGTTTAACCCTGAACTCTCCCCTGATAGTTCCAGGGCCATCACAAAGTACAACCTCATCTGGTTCGTCTGGTTGAAATGCAGGTAAGATTCCAGATTTCAGGAAATTGTTTTAGTCCATGTTCTTACCTCGTCTTACTCTTCTCCGAAACCAATCGGTCTGGAAATTACATCTGAGATTTCTTGGGCCACTTCCTGTTGTTCTGTGATGTCCGCCATCAGTTCGTCTACTTTGTTGATGTCCCTGTGAAACAGAAGGACACGAAGAGAGATATGACATCAAACTGGATGCATGAATACAAATGGCTCTGCACAAACCAAGAAACTGGTGTCTATAAGATTCTTGGACGATGTTTATCTCCCGATTCAATACTATCATGATACTTGGGTGCCGATTCAATATATATTGCTATTTTTAAGTATTGCAATTTGTGATTTTTGTTTGCATTTTTAAATACTGGCCAACGGGAAGAGGCTGAATCATACACTTCTAGAGACAGTTTATCATGAGGTATAGTTACAAAAACAACGTCAGCCAGTCTTTTATGTCAGCAGCATCATATAGCGCATGGAAAAGTGGTAAATAAACTAGTAACTGTTTTAACCCCAGCAGGATACCAACCCTGGACCTCCCGCATGAAAGACAAGTGCTCTAGCCACTACATTAGGGAGGCCCACTACACTAAGGTAGGACGGGAGGATAGTGGCCTCACTGGTTTGTTTCCTATAAAGTTCAGAGTTAGTCAAGAAAAGAAAACTAAAACTACACCAACATGGCAACATTTTGGATTTGAAGCTGTACAGGCCTTTTTGAGCTAAACTTATGTCGGACCCTATATTTCTCTTTATTCCGGTCACTCACTTTGAAAGCGTCACGATGGACGAGGAGCGGCTGATTCTTGAATGTGAAATTAAGACTAATCTTTACAATTCCTCTTAATTTCACTACAAAAGCACAAATGAGAAAAGGATTAGCTAGCCAGCAACCTCGCAGTCCCTCTGCCCCTCCCCACCACGAGGAGACTATTCGCCGGTAGGAGAGCGGGAGAAAGCTCTGGAAACGGACCTCCAGTAGCTGTTGCAACTTGAATTTAGCAAACCCCAGGGCCGGGGTTCGCAGCGGGCAGGGTCTAATGTGTGTAAAGGCAGCAACAGAAAGTTTGCTAATCCGTTTTTCTGCTTTCTCGCTTCAGACTTTTTTTTTTTTTTCTTGAAATGGATATGACAGCACATTACTTGCTGACCACCACAATAAAAGTGGCAACTTCTTTCCACCTCTGCATTTGAATTCTATCAATTCAGGCATAAAAAAATCAATTATGAAAATCTTAAAAAGAAACATTTACAATACATGAGGGAATCAGTGTTTTTCCCCACCCCATCACTTAGCAAAGGCAAACAAAGAACAACAAAAGGCAGCTGATTATAAAAGGAATAAGACAAGAAAACCTGTAAACTTAAACTCATAATACTTAAAATAACCTCAGCAGCACCCAAAAAAAATCTAACCTGTAACTTGTTTCTAAATGTCTCTTACATGTGTTGGTGTGCAGCCTCCATTGCCTTGGCTGCAATGCTCATGTTCTTGAGCACTTCTGTGTTGGTGTTGGCATTCTCTAGCGCCTCCCTCTGGAATTCAATGGTAGACAACGTCCCGTCGATCTGAAGCAGCTGCTTCTCATAGCGCTTCTTCCTTTTCAAGGCCTGCAGAGCCGCTGGACAGAAAAAGAAAGGATGGATCAAAGTTTGGTCAGGAGACAGATACAAGGCTTTTTCTTTTAGGAGTAAATTTGTGTTGAAAATGTTAAGTATGAGACAATGAGACAAAGACCAATAGACACATATCTGATGCATGCAGCAGCAGCTTTCTTTGTATGTCTCAGGACAAATAAGGAGCAGGTAGAGCTGCGCTGCTGCAAGATGAGCTTCAGTGAAATGATGAATTACAGTGTTTGTCCTAATGGAGCAGGACTCGGTTAATCTGATAAAATCCCGTCTGAGCCAAATCTCTGCCTGCAGACGCAATATGCTTTGGACAGACTACTTTAAGTTTGTCCTCTCTCTAGCATCTCATCGAGCTCTCAGAGATCTGGTCTTATCTGAAACAACAGAGATGAAAATATTTGGTAAACCTGAGGCTGCTGTTGGATTAGCTGGATTTAGTAGCTGGATTTCTATCACTGGAAAGAACAGCTTGACTGAGTACGACAAAGTGACTTTTGTAGTATTAGTGCTGAAACAATTAGTTGATTAGGTCTAATTAATTAGGCGATTCTCAAAGAATTCATGAACAAGTACTTCACATTGATCGTTTGAGACATTTATGAAGCAAAAATGACAAACTTTACTGGTTCCAGCTTCTCAAATGTGAGGATTTTTTGAACTGATGATAGTAAACTAAACTTCTTTTGGTTTTAGACTGTTGGTTAGACTAAACATGACATCCGCTTGGGCTCATGGAAATTGTGATTGTCCCTTTTTACTAAATTCTGACACACAGTGCTCCAGGGATCCATGTCAAAATACCAATGTGACTTTTCCATTGGATTGAATTTCGGATTACTGCAGAAAATAAACTCTGTGGCAAATGAGTTTATGATACTTTTGATTTGTTCACAAGATAATCTTCACTACTTCACTACGTACTACTTTTTTTGAAGCCAAAATGCATTTGTCAGAATTAAAAAGCGAACATTAGTCTATAAGCTAACTACACCACAGTCGCATGACCTAAGACCTTTTTAAGACACACAAAAGCTTCAAAATTCTCAAGTGGGGTATTTACAGACATCTTTTATGTTATAGAACAAAACTTTAAAGTCTCTTAAGCTTGTGTCAACCACAGAAGAACCCACTGACTCTGACACGAGGGAACAGGGAGTGGTTAAATGCAGGTAAAAATTTCCAGACAGACTAAACAATTAATTCTGCAATGTTACTACTTAAACTTGAGTTAACTTATTTCCAACTAACATTCTGTCAATTAACTAATACACTAAATGTTACAGGTCTCTCTTGTGTATTTATTTATTTTTTCACTGACTGTATATCCTGTATTAATCATTTCAGTATATGCGTCCACAGTATATTTTGGCACTTGCCTTCCTCCATGTGGTTTAATTACACAGAAAAAAACATCTAAGCCAGAACACAGGGAAATCCCCTTTGGTTCTGATAAGGGAAAGCACCTAATCCACAGAGGCGGTGACTTAAACCTGCTGAGTCATACGTGACGAGGGAAGTGGGTGATGAAGTCACAAGAGATAAGAATGTATGCTGGAGCGTGTCTGGATTACAGCCTCGGTTTGGAACCAAGATTAGAAGATGCAGTTACATAAGGTTTAGCTCTGAATAAAACTCAAAGATCAGGATTTGACGTTAAAATAGTTTCCACTTGCTGTCACTGTCACAGTTATAATCTTTGTTTTCATCTTGCTTCGCTGCTGCTATAGTGATGCTTTCCCTGTCCGAGATCTGTATCATGCAAATGTCCACACAAAGTCTGTCTGTTTTAAGCAGGTTATTATTTAAAGGGATAGTTCAGATCATTTGAAGTAGAGCTATATGAGATTCTTACCCATACTCAGCAGCTTCTGTGATCAGTGAGCTAAAATAATTTTTTTTGTCAACAGAGTAAGGAATTTTGACGAGAGCATAAATGGGAAACTAAAGCCTTTATCACCTTGCACGTCAGAAAGGGCTGTGTGTGTTTAGGTAAAGCAGTGAAAATATTCTCAGTATCGAGTATACTAAAACTGATGTTGATTTTTTAGGGGGAGTTCATGGCGGACTTTGCGATATCAGCAAATATTGTATAATTGTCCAAAGAATCGATATAATATCATGAATTAGGGATGCGCGATATTGGATTTTTTTTTGCCCGTATTGATCTGCTGATATGTAACAACTCATGTCCATATATCCACTTTTTTCCCAACCTAATTTCAGTGATCATCAAATCTCTTCTGTGGTGGAATTAACACCATATTATGCCTGTATACCCTCATTGTGATGACCCACTGGCAGATGAAGACATGAAATACAATACTTATCAATGTATGTAATATTCATTCATGGGACAAGATAAGAAAAATAATCTTGGCCAATTCTGATTAATTTTGAAGCTGATATTGACTGATACCAATGACATGATATTATTGCGCATCCCTATCATGAAGAGACTTGTGATTTACACCCCGAATTCCCATCAGCCTCCACTGTACTTTGTGTTTAGTGCTAATTAGCAAATGCCAGCGAGCTAAAACACTAAACTAAAGCCCTTTTTAAATAGGAATTGTGCAACTTTGCAGGAAAGCCCAATCAGTCTTCTTTCAGCATTGGCAGTATAAAAGCAAAATCGGGGAGTACAGCAAAATGCATCATACAGAATGTGCCATTTTCGGGGCAATGAGGGGCGTGAGTAAGTAACAAAACGTGTAGCTCAGCATGTGACGTAAACAGTGACGCAGTGTTGCCAACTTAGCGACTTTGTCGCTATATTTAGCGACTTTTCAGACCCCTCTAGCGACTCTTTTTCAAAAAAGCGACTAGCGACAAATCTAGCGACTTTTTCTGATGTTATTGAAGACTTCTGGAGACTCTGTTGTGAGAGCACGTATCATTCTTATTCTTCTCAACGAGCAGCAGATGCTGCCGTGGGTTCCTCTCTCGCCCCAAAGCACTCACAGACGGCCCAGTCCTCCCTCCCAGCAGCAGTCAGAGCAGGAGATGTTAACCCCTCCACCTCCAGACTGCAAGTGAATCGCGCATGCGCGGAACCGCCGCTGGCTGATCCCGACCTGGTTTACAGTCAGAGCGGGATGTAAATGTAAAATTTTCTTTGTCTAATATAAATCACTGAAAGAATGTTCATTTGTAGTTCTAAACATATTCAGGGTGTTTTTTTACACAGTTTTTGTCTCTCCCACGACGTTATTCCTCTCTCCTACAGCAGCCATTACAATTACATGCATATGGACAATTATGCAAATTCTGAGGGAAGCCGCTGCTGGTCAGTCCTTCGGCGATTCTCTCTTAAGTCGGCCCATCCTTCACCGTTCCCGTCATTTGACGGTTAATGGCCTCTTAGTTTGCGAGGACAAGGAGGGCGCGCAATTCCTTGTCTCCCCAGTTGCTCATCTTTACAGTGTCTGTCAGGTTTACGTTTCCCTCTTGCTACTAGCTGCTCATTTCTGCTATCAGCTGTTTCCTGTTAGTTCACCGCCAGTGGGTCGCACGTGCAGCATCATCAACAGCTCCTCCCACAAGTCATCAACAGCTCCTTCCATGGCAGAGAGCGCCTCGGTCTTTTTAAACCAAAACGGTTCCACTAATATGTCTACCCCTTTGGGCGGAAAACTGGGCACCTTGGATCAACTCGCCAATCCAGCCCAAAACAGCCCAACATTCGCTGAAAATCTGGCAGTGTAAAAGGGGCCTAAGACTGTGAACATGGGAAACATCATAACAGCTTTACATCAATTTGTTAGCATTGTCATTGTGAGCAGGTTTGCCTAGCCATGTTAGCATCTAGCTCAAAGCAACACTGTGCCTCAGTACAGCCTCACAGAGCCGCTAACATGACAGAATTTTTTTTTCTATTAAAAAAATGAAGCCAAGGTTCTCATATATTGCACGCAGCTGTACACGAACTTCTTAACTGGAACTGGAAAATTATAATCCATCAGAACATTTCAGATATAGAAAAAAGACGAATCTTTATCAATCTACACAAACAACTCTTTATCGATCTACTGACCAGACTGGTTGGTCTGGTCCACCTGGAGCCAGAGAGCAGCTGACAGTTCCTGTTTCATCTGATTATTCTGGCACCTGGCTCTATCCCTGGACTGATAACATCATTACCCAACATCACACACAGCATAATTAGATTATCTCGGTGGCGGAGCTGCATTCAGACCACACCCTTGAATTATGGGTCACCTTTTGTGACCCTTTGTTTTTCCTGTTGTCCTGCTTTTTTCTCCTGACTGCTTCAAACCTCATTTTTCAGTAGCGACTCTACATGTCAAGTATGATTTACGAGTACACTCTGTTTTCTGTTGCGTTGTCACTTTTATCAACTGAAATGTAAGATATACTTGTCAGTGACAGGGCTGGAGGCTCACTGATAGGATGAACTATGTTGAAAATCAGGTTTAAGAGTTGAAAGCAAAAGTGTGAGGAACAGTTACAGGACTTTTAAAACCCGTTATAAATGAGCCATTTTTCCTGGAAAGAGTTCATGGTTGCATCACAGATCTCACTGCAACCCCAGTGGGAATCTGGCTTTATGTAATCAGGGGTGTATCATATTATCTTCCCACAATTATTGTGGCCGAAAATATCATAGTAAATAGTCTTATCACAACATTTTAAAACTCTCCTGAAATACTTTTAATAGCTAAATAACAGTAAAATTACAAAACAACGTATTTGCCTTGAACTTTAACCAACTTAACAAATAGTTGGACTCTGCAAAGGCACCAACATAGCATACACTTTACACACTATCAACAGGAGCTGGCTGGTTTTAATGGTAAAAATAAATTTTATAAGGCCAAACGTGTGTTAATGCACAAAGAACGACGAGCTACACCACAAGGCGAATGCAAATATGTGACTTGTCTGGCCTGTGCGAATGGTGTCCCACACAAAATATGAACCTTCACTGTGGTCAGAGCTGATGCAGTAAGAACACTGGTACAAAAGTGCT